CACCACCCGATCTCCTCAAGTTGTTGCTGAGGGATCAGTTCATAGATGCCTTGGACAGTCCACAACTTAAGATACAAGTAAAACAAGCACACCCCTCTACCATGCAAGATGCAATGGCCAGAGCTCTCGAATTTGAATCCTACGTTAAGTCCAGCACAGAGGTACCGAAGTTGGTACAGTCATCTGGATTCAAGGCAAGAAAAGGTCAGCTTTCAGAGAGGTTTGAGGGACTTTGCTGGCACTGTAATAAACTTGGGCACAAGAGAGCTCAATGCTGGAAACTTCTACACAGGGGAGATGATACAGCAGGAAAGGCTGCTACCCATAAAGGCTGTTGGAACTGTGGGAAGCAAGGACATCTGAGGAGCCAGTGTTGGAAGAATATTACCAACAAGTCAGCCTCAAGGAGACCAGTAGTGGTTGGTGTTGAGGGACACTCACCAACCCCCATCATGAAAGGCACAACAGCTAGGTGTAAAATGCCAAGCACACACAGCATCTATGTGACAGGAAAGCTGGATGGCCAAAGGTGCAACTTTGTTATAGACTCTGCGTCTCAGCAAACCATTGTGAGCATCAAGGTGTTAGATCACGAAGGAGTACCAGAAGCCATACAGAAGCTGTATGGTGTGACAGGACATTCTACAAGATTGTGGGGACCAGTGTGGGTAACTATTGAGCTCATGGGCATAAAGGACAGACAAAAAGTATACTTGGCTGACATTGAAGACCAATGCATATTAGGATTGGACTATCTACTTCCAAGGAAGTTTGTAATTGATTTTGATAAAATGACGTTCGGGAACAACAAAGGCCAAGTTCCGGTAACTGTTAAAAGAGAGGTTGAACTAATTAGGTGTCATCAAGCTGAAGTCAAAGTGACTGAAGAAGTTGATGATGGTGAAGTGAAACCAGGTGTAGATATTAAAGCAGAGCAGAAGAAAGATCACGATTTGAAGCCATTGATTGATTTCCTAAAACCAAGTGTTTTGTGCCCTGCTTGGGAGAAGGTGTCTAGTCTAAGCCCCGTGACAAAGCACTATTGGGTGCAATGGAACCAGTTAAAGCTTGCAGATGGTATTCTTGTACGAAGATGGGAAGGTGACGACTTGGCAAACAGTTATACCGAGGAAGTTACGGGAAGTTGTGTTGCGTCGATCCCATGATAATTTAACAGGAGGACATCTCGGAATTAGAAAGACATTGAGTCATCTACGACAAAGATTTTATTGGATAGGTATGAGGCGAGATGTGGAAGAATGGTGCCGGACATGCAGTACATGTAGTGCTAAAAGGGGACCCAAGCATACTGGACACCCACCTTATGAAGAATTGCCTGAGAATGTGTAGGAGTTTGTGAAAGTGTTATCGGAAAGGATGGATAACATCCACCATCAAGTGCCTTCAAGCTTGGAAACGACTGCTGATTCGATGAAGTTAACTTATGATAAGAGATCTACTGAAGTCAACTTTGCACCAGGAGACAAGGTGT